CAGAAAACACTTGAAATTTCTAAGCTGTTTTTACTCACCACTGCTATCATGTTTCTTTGAATAGAGGCTAGCAAAAAGATTTCATTCATTGCAAAAGTAGTTCTCGGACACTGCAGATCAAAGATGTTCTACATGGAGGGTCAGCCTATTTTCAGAAATGTTTTTATTACTTGTTGGCAATGATGAACATAAGCGTGGCATCCAGCATCAGTTCCATCCTATTTAGAGATAACTGGAAATAAATATAGGGAACTGAGTGTATTTATGTCGATGTGGAACTGTGGATACGACTGGTTGTATTAGCGACGTGAAAAGCAGCTTCCTTATTTCATGGTTAGGCATCTGGGACTTGGAGCTCAGTAACATGTGTCAAGTCATCCAGCTCAAAAATGATGTAGCCAGTGTTCTAGTACAAGTCGGTTTGAATCCAAGTAAGGCAAAAGAGAATGAAAGAAGTAGATAATCTTAAAAGCACAGAAGAACAATGGGTTTGTGAAACAGGATCTGATAACCAACCTCTTAATGATAATCAACAAATTGTGAATATTTTGTTGATAACCTTTTTGAGGAAGCTCAGAAAGTTGGTGCCAAATGCTTATCTCCCACTGAACAGAAGAAACAGGTAAATGTAAGTATAAAATTATGGAAAAATTGATTCACAGTCAACGATGATTTCAGAAGTTATTCTGATTGTGCAAGTCAGCAATTTCTTAACTCCCTCAAAAAAGGGGAATTACCGTTAGAGTTACAGGAAATTTTCGATAAAGAGGAGGTTGATGTTAAAGTCGAAGACAAGATAAATGAACTGTGTATGTCAACCAAGCCTGTGTTTCAGCCCTTCTCAGGACAGGGTCACAGACTGGGAAGGGCAACACCAAAAATTGTCTTTAAACCAAGGAGTACTGAAGTTGAGAATAAAAATAATTGGTCTACTGTCCAGCTAAACAACCTGGAACCCATCACTAACATACAGATCTGATTAGCCAAAGGGAAAAGGATTGTCCAGAAATTTAACATTTCTCATAGGATAAGCCACATCAAAGACTTCATCGAAAAATACCAAGGATCTCAAAGAAGTCCTCCCTTTTCCCTGGCAACAGCTCTTCCTTTTCTCAGATTGCTAGATGAAACACTCACACTGGAAGAAGCAGATTTACAGAACGCTGTGATCATTCAGAGACTCCAAAGAAATGCTAGACCTTTTAGAGAATTTTCATAAACATTGATTTCTGATGCACTAAGTAGAGAGCTTGCAGAGAAATAAATGCTGGATGTAAGTGGAAATGCAAACCCAAATGGGAGAAAAGAAAAGTCAGGTTCATTGGACTTTTTGTTGGAGTACTAATTTAACTCTCTACTGATGCGAAGATTTTTAGATAAATACAAGTTAAGAAAGTATGACTGGAAAGTATATTGAAAGCCCTCTTTCCAAAAAGCTACTCATAAAGGAAAACATACGTAATTTCAAATACCAGTTATTCAACATAAGACATGTTTAATAGCTATGTCATTTAGAATCTTAATATGGTATAAATTAGCAAATGTGTTCACAGCATCATTCCCAGACAGCAGTGATTTATTTAAATGTTAGCTATCTAGGATTTTTAGATAGCAATAACACAAAAAATATATATACAACAGGTTATAAACATCAATATAATTATTTTTATACTTGAGATACAATCGAATGGCTGGAAGGGACTGCTTTCACCATAGCTATGCCTAAACTTCAAAATGTTCTCAATTTGCCTTCTTTAATGGCAAGATATACTCAATTATTAATTTGGCAACAGTATCTGAGATGTATTTTTAAGAATAAAATGAAGGATAAAATTGTTTAGCTTAGTATAATGTCAATATTGATCTGCCTACTCACATTGCTATATTTTTGAAAAGTGTAAATTTTTAAAAAAATTATTTTCTGTCTGGGAATCCTACTTTGTTCCCTATCTTACTTTCTTTTGCAAATTAGGGATTTGTTCTTCTTTGACATTTGGAGTAAGCCACTCATGTGCCACCACTCAGATTCTTATGCTTGTGTTGTCACATTGATAATTAATATTTTTAAATGTGTCATGTAAAGTATGGTTTTCTATTCAATGCATCAGAGTCAACCCATGCATGTATTAAAGGATTATTCACATTCTGATGTACCCAAGGAAAACATGCTTTTTTTAATTCACTTTATTATCATCAATCTACAATTACATGAAGAACATTATGGTTACTAGACTCCCCCCTTTACCAAGTCACCCCCACCACAAACCCCATTACAGTGACTGTCCATCAGCAAAACATGCTTTTTATCTTAGACTTTTAACTAAAACCTGTTAGACTTCAGTAATTCACTATCAGATTAAATCCCTGTTGCCTAAAAATAAGCTTTTTTTTTAAGTAATTATATTTAAAATAAAATACACATTGATTGTGTCAAAGAATTAAGTAGCCATGCCTATCAGCAGTAATGTTCATAGGCACTAGATGTCTTTTGGAAAGAGCAGTTCTCAATCTTTTTGGTCTCAAGATCTTTTATGTGGTTTGTATATATTATGTTAAAAGTTGTAAAATATTTATTCATTTAATAAACACTTGATAATATAAACATTATGAAAAATGTCTATTTTCTAAAACAAAAAGATTGTGAGAAAAGTGGAAAATTGTGTTCCATTTTTTGTAAATGTCTTTACTGTCAGAATTAAAGAAGACAGATGGAGTCTTGTATCTGCCTGTACATTCAGTCTGTCATGGTATCTATCACACATGTAGCCTCTGGTAAATGCTACTGTATGCTCATGAGGAAATGAAAACAAAAAACGTAAATAACATCTTAGTATGATTATGAAAATAGTCTTGACTTTGCAAACCCCTTAAAAGAGCCATTCTTATAAAGTAGTGATTTGCAGTGATTTTCAAGCCCTAGTGTTAAGAATTACTTGGGAGATTTTCAGAATGACTGTTCTGGCCACATTTTGATTCAGTGTATCTGGGGTGGATCCCAGATCTCTGCATTTTTTATCTCAACTGATTCCTGCGTATATAACCAGTCTTAATCAAGTAAATCGTGCAATAAGCTTCCACCCTAAGAAACTAAAAGTTGCATGCTTCACTATGGACAGTGGAAGGCTGTACACTGAAATGGACCCTTAATTTTTATCCTTGTATAAGGTTATAAATTTTATCCTTGTATAAGAGTTTGTTCTTAAGCTGCACCCCTTTAACTCTGAATTATTTGTAACATAAACCAGTATTATACCTTTAAGCACAGCTGAAGACTGGAACCCTTAAATGAGGTTTTTATTAAAGGCTCAGGAATAACAGAAGGAAATACATCACTAGATGATCTAGCTTATAAAAATCTTTTGAGGTCTAGTTTAAGAATATTTACGTGGTAGAAGGCCATCTTTTAATTACGAAAAGCAGGAAGACAGGAGAGCCTTATCCTTTTGTCATTTCTTCTCAAAAATGAACAGATATATATTAGAAAATATTTATTGTCAGTAATGTTTACAGCTATGATAGTCTAGTGAAACAAAATAGCATTCTTAAAAAAAATGGGATGGTAAAATCAACTTCTCTTTCAGATAATACAGTAACAACTGGTTGTTTCAAGAATCTAAGAAAATGTTTCTTAAAATATAGGCCTATCATGAAGCATTTTACCATTTTAATTTGCATATAGTCAATATGTGATTCTCCATATATTTCTATAAAGGGGACTCTCATTGGAAGTGTTCTACTTTTACCTACAGAAACATCTCCTTTGTGGATTTTGCAGTTTATATTATGTAACCAGAAGACATATTGGAGGTTTTCTCATGTGTTCATTTAGAAAACGCGCAGTAAGAAGTTCCTATAGAGAAGGACCTGTCATCAGCAATAACTTCATTTTGTAGCAGTGAAAATTTTCATTAATGTAAATAATCTCAGAGGTTTTCTAATGGGAATCATCCACTAAAGCTTTTTACCTGAAAATTTAATAATTGTAAAGTGTGAAATACTTAAAATATGTTGACTTTAGAAAACATGGTTTTGGCAAGGGAAGGCAAACTTGAAAATAAGCTTCTTCGGTGGAACAGTTTAACCTATGTAGTTGTTTTTATAACTGTCATCAATCAGTTGAAAGTCATTGTTAAGGCTGACAAACAGAAGGACAATTTTAATTTTACAGATTCTAATTTAACGGTTAAATTACTATGCATTATCCGGGTAATAAAAGTGATCTTACTTCTTTTATACACTTTTCTCATTCAGAGTAATTTTCATTACATTTCATTGTGTTGAAAAATGGTATGTATGCATCTATTTCAGTGCCTTAAAGTATTTTGAGAGCTTTTACTAATGGCTAACTGTTGTCTTAAGGATGAAATACTACTATTCATTGAAAGGATCTGTGAAAGAATTTATACTTGTTTGTTATAAAATATAGGATGCATTTGTCTTTTATTTGGCCAAGTCATTCAGTTTGAGACCAACAAACATTAGGTGCCTTCTGTTTGCCAGGTATTATTACCAATGTTACTGTCATTTAATATACAGAAGTGTTAAAATACAATATTTTAATACTAACTCAATGGTTGTGATTATATTTTGACAATCCTTTGTGTCCTGAATTGAATTAACATAAAGACTGTTTGGTAGGGTTTGCTCTCTGTTCTTTCAAAGTACAAACCATTTAATTAAAAAATTGTTCATTATATATTAAATAAAACTGGCTTATTTGGGAAACTAAAAAAAAAAAAAAAGTAGTTCTCAGACTTTCTGTATCAAAGGAAATTATCCCCAGAGTACAGTTTGAAAAACCACTGAAGTAGTACTTGAGCTAAATACCAAAAAGGTGAGAGGGTATGTCAGCATATTTATTGTTGTTTGCAAAGAATATTCACTGAGCTCTTTTTTTCTAAGTTATGTAAGATTTCATTAAATTTTATTATTGAAGTCTAAGAATAAATTTATAGCACCTGTTTTAAAGTTACTTTTCATAGTCTCTTTTTGTTTTCCAGATTTTTTGTTTAAGTTCTTGGTCATTGGAAATGCGGGGACTGGCAAGTCTTGCTTGCTTCACCAGTTCATCGAAAAAAAATGTAAGTGAGGTCCCGTGGCCAGCATTTCAGGCATGTCTTCTGAGGGTGTTCCCTTGCTCAGACTTGTCTACAGCAAAACTTTTAATATTTTTTCCAGGAAAAAAGTTGTAGTTTAAAATTATTTTTATATAACATTAAAATGTATGGAAATAACTTTTAGTAGCATGATTGAGTTTTAATTAAGTTAGCATCTCAGTTTCATAATGGTTCATTGTTCAGCATTTAGTGAATCATTCTGTCCATTTTCCACCTGCTGAAACACAGGCAAACTTCACATACATTGTGGATTTGGGTCCCGACCACCGCAGTGAAAATTGCAACAAAGCAAGTGAAGTGAATGTTTTGGTTTCCCAGTGCATACAAAAGTTATGTTTACACTATACCACAGTCTGTTAAGTGTGCAATAGCATTATGTCTAACAAAAATGTACATACTTTAATGAAAATAACTTTATCGCTAAAAAATGCTAAGCGTCACCTGAGCTTTCAGGAGTTGTAATCGCTGATCACAGATTGCCGTAACAAATAGAATAATAATGAAAAAGCTTGAAACAGTGCAAGAATTGGCAAAATGAGACATAAAGGGAGCAAATGCTGTCGGAAAAATGGTCTTGGTAGACTTGCTTGATGCAGCGTCGCCACAAACCTTCAACTTGTAAAAAATAAAACACAATAAAAAAAATACAACACAATAAAGGGAGGTAGGCCTATGCAATAGGATGATGTGGAAGTCAGCAGAGGAATTCCATTTCCAGTCAGGAAGCAGCTTGAGAAGCAAGCCCCCATTGTCTATTTTGGATAAAATAATATTTGGTCTTCAGTGGCCTTGTATTGCGATGAGACAGCTGTTTAATCCTAAATTACAGGTAAAGGGACATCGGTTCAGAGGAGCTAGTATGCACTCGCGGGGTCACCACCTAGTAACTGGGTAGACTCAAGCCAGGCCTTCTGAACCCATTTTTGCACTGGTTTGGTAAAACTGAATTTTTTATTCCAAATATTATAAAAGACTGTAGGTCTGAAGGACCCTTAAAATAAACAGTGTTTCTGTAATAATGGAAAGAATGGCAGAGAATGACACGTCTGTTTAGTGGCAGTTGAGTGAAGGTATGAGAACAGAATCAATTTCATTTCATGAAGCACATCTTAAGCAGGTATGCCTGAGACACCTTAGGTGGTGGATAAAATGGAAAGAGCATAGGATGTCTTGGCAAAGAGCTTTGAAGAAGAATAAAGTGCCAGAAGCATATTCAGCTACTCCCATTTTCACCAACCAAGAGCTTGCTGGAACCTGTGTTCAGTGATAAGGCCCCGGCGCGGCTTAGCTTCAGAACCGATCCCCTATGCATTTAACAGGCATGCATCCCCTGGGCGGCCCGGGCTTCTTTACACGTTGCCAAGACTTTGCACTGAGTGTCCCAGAAAAAAATGCCCAGAGGACACGCAGCCAAGTCCCCAGCTTGTGGGATCAGCCTCCCCCGTGGTGCCCTCTGCTCTGGCGGCCCTCCCTCTAGCTCCTCACGATGGCCCTTGTGTGCCCTTGACGGTCTGCACCATCTGCAGTCCTGAGGGGGAAGTATTCCCCTTATTTCTCTTATGCTTGGGTACCCTTGGCCTTGAGCTACACCCCTTGAAGGCTTTTATTCCGAGTTTTGCCCAGTAGCATGATTCTAGCTGCATGCACACTGTCCGAGCATGAGACAGGTTGGTAGAGTCAGTATTAGCCTTTCATTCCCCCACACTCAGGAAACAGTAAACACACCTGTCAGGTGGCCTCCCTCATTTCTCATGCAGTTACATCCTGTCCTGCGGTTGTAAAAGACAGACTAGTCAATGGACTGCAGAACCTTATTGTCTGACTTTCACTTCTCCTTTCACCATCACAGAAATTTTCTTTGTCAGACAGCTTATTCCAGGTGGGTTTAGCCAAGCACTTACTGTGCCCACCTCTCCGTGCATTTAAACAGATAGTATCGATTTCTCTTATGCCATACAACACTAACATTCATAAAAACTCAGCAGCTTAACTACACATACTGTTTTTGTTTTGTGGATTTGTTGGTTTGCTTTAGTTTGGGGTTTTTTTACTCTCTTTTTCCTTTTCCTTTTCCCTTAATCTTTGGTGTCCACCCAGTTTCTTTTTTGGGCTACATTTTTTCCTTCCCTTTACTTGGTTTCTTTAGAATATTTATCCATTCAAACATTGCCTCATTGCCCCTGAGTCACCAACCTGTTCCTGGGCGCTAAGCCCCACAAGGCGACACCCTGGGATTTCCTGCAGTTACCCTTGACGAGCACCTTGACTGCAGATGGGGTGCACAGGCTTCTCATGCAGTGTTGCCCCCTCCAGCCTAGGCTCTAAATTGTGTGGTTTGTTTTAGGGGTTTTGAGAAAAAGCTTTATTGTCTCTAAGAACAGGAGCTGTGAGTGTCCTGTTTAAGACAGGGAACGCTTCTTATCGCCTGTCTGTTGGAAACATGAGTGGCTGAAGTGGATTACATTTTCCATTGATTTTACCCTTGACTTTACTGTTATTTGTTTAAATCTATAAACATTTCTTTAATGTCCTACAATTAAATTATCTTGTTCTTTTCCTTTTTTCAGTCAAAGATGACTCGAATCATACAATAGGAGTGGAATTTGGCTCAAAGATAATAAATGTTGGTGGTAAATATGTAAAGTTACAGATATGGGATACAGCTGGCCAAGAGCGATTCAGGTAGCTTTTTCTCTCACTTAATAAAACTATTTAAAAATTGAATTTGAGATAATCAATTATATTCTCTTAATATATATAAAGTTCCCTCCTCACTGCACAGATTTCAGAAACGTCACATCTGGGAGCCATAGGCAACCTGAAAGTCAATTTTTCCTGACTTTTTACTAAGGAGTACATTGGAATCCCTACGGAGTGAATGCGTCCTAACTTAGAGGCTGACTTATTCTTTGGGACTAGTGAGCACATGAGCGGGACGTGGTATTCATACTCTGCAGTATACTTTTAGATTAAAATCAAGGCAAAATAATAACACGGACAATTTTTCTATTTCACTTTTAAAGGAGAATTTTTTTGAAACCTCTTTTGGGGTTTTGTCTTGTTTTACGTTAACTAGAGCATGTTCTGATGGTTGATAAACATTGCACAAAAATTCTGTCTTCCACACTTTTGTTACACTACAATCGTCGTTGGGAATGATGACCCCAGGTCACTGCAGAAAGGTTACATGTTTAATATTCTGTAACTGCTGAAACCAAAAGGTTAATATTTTAGTTGTATTTCTTTAACAGATAATACAAAGTCAAAATAGAACAGCTACTCATTTTCAAAATTCAGTTAAATAAAACTCACTCCCACTGCAAGCATTTCCCTTAACTGAAGTCAGGTTTACATTATATCTTAAATGCTAGATAACTGTTTGCTTCAAAAATATAATAACCATTTTTAATCTTGGTCATCCTTCGGAAAGCACTGGCACATCAAGCATGGCGGATTCCATTCAGACTCTGCGTCCGCTCACCCGCAGCCTGCACTGGAGCGACTGGAAATAACTGAGGTGGCATCAACTCAAAAAGACCCAGAACAGGAGAGGGTGGACTTATGATAAAGAAATTGCAAGAAAATTGTAAAGACAGGAAGTGGATGGCCTTGTAGCTGATTTAAAGCAGAGGGGGCCCTGTTGTCAGTGACGGTGGAACGCCAATGAGCAAGAAACCACTTCTTGCTGCTGAAACCAGAAAAGGCCAGGATTTGGAAGCATCAGGTTCTGCAGGAGGGTGTGCACGCAGGCGTGCGCACCCACAGGGTGAGAGGTTCAGTGTCTGGGTTGAAGCAGGGTCAGACCCAAGGCCGCAAGGCCGAGCAGAGGGCAGAGTGAGGCGGGACTGCAGAGAGGGAATTCAAGGAGGGTCTACAGACCCTAACCCACTTCCCCCCAACACCCCCCTAGTCGCCGGCAGCCAGGTGTGTACATCTCAGGCAGGAGAGATGATCCTGCAGAAAGATGAACAGCCCCAATGAAAAGGCCTAAAGATACTAATATTTGGTTTTCCCTAAAATCACCTGATCTCTGGCCAGCCATTTCAGTGAAGCCTCCAGCTCACCCATAAAAAGCTTCTCTTGGAAGACTATTTCATTCCTTGCTCTTGAGTGTAAATAATAACCAAGGATCACCAGACATTGGAAGAAAGTTTCTAATATAAAACAGAGCCCAAGATAAAGAAAATAGGACCTTCCAGGGTCTAGGATAAAAACACTGAAAGCTCAGCATCCTCAGAAATCAGAGCCGAGGTTGCATGTAGGTAGTGAGAAACAAAATGATATTTTTAAAAAGAGCCATCAAAATAATAGAGGAGTGATCTTCCAGAAGGTTGAACAAGAAACTTGAGATAAGAAGACAAAGAATCGTACAGAATTAGCCCAGGAGGTCCAGTGCCTGACTGGCAGGTGTTTCAAAAGAAAGAAGAGCAGAGGAGACCAAGAAGACCTTCACCAGAGGAATGCTATTCCAGATGTTTTGGCCCACTTTATGCCAAATACACGAGAGGGAAAATCCAGACCAGAGCATGCCATGTGAAACTGTCTCTAAGCACAAGGACTGCAGTGAAGATATATAAATATTCCAGGAGGAAAAACAGTCACATATAAAGGATTAGGATTGGGAATTGCACTGCACCATTCAAGAGCAGCATGTGGGAAGTGAGAAGGCAGAGGAGCATTGCCTTCAAAACCCAGCGTAAGAAATGCTTTCCAACCTGAAATTCGGCTTAGCCAAACTACCGATTAAGTGTGAGAGTGAAGTCAGAATACCTTCAGATAATGCAAGAATGAGGGAAAGTAAAGGTTGCTTTTCACATACTCCTTCTGAGAAATTTCAGGAGGATACAGCACACCAAGCGAGTAACCCCAGGAAGGGAAAGGGGAAGTTGAGCCACAGGGAACCAGCCCCTGGGAACAGCAAGGAGATGCCCCGTGGAAGTCATCACACAGCGGTGGAGAATGAGGAGTGGAGGGGAGGAGGGACATAAGTGAGGGAAAGGTTCACCAGAGCAGAAACCTCTAAAATGAATAATTCAGATAGTTTCAGGAGCCTTTTATAGAAAAACAGAAGCAAATCCCAAAGGAATGAGACTGTGATGTCCGTGACTGTAAGGACGCTTGTATTTTTGGCTGCCTTCTCCAGAGCCCAGCGTGGTGTCCAGCCCACAGGTGTTGGACAGGAGTAGTTCTGATGACTTACCAATCCCAGAAAACATCTGACCCCGACGGAGAGCAGCTGCCACGAGGGTTAGGGTCACAGGGAGAGCGAGGCAGGAGACAGCAGTGCCTCATTTCCAGCCTTTGAGCAAGATTTAATGTAACATCATGTACATGCATTACTTTGGTTTAAATAACTTCGAGAAAAAAAATACCTCAAAATTTTTTTCTTAAATGTTTACATTTGTGTACTTTAATAGTTTATTCTAAGTAGCCTAGTCATAAATACTGTGTTACAAAATAAATTTTCAAATAAATGAGGAAGCCAATTGATGTAAGTTAAGTTCTCTTGAGGAGTGCTCCAAGATGCCTCTTCCGTGGAAACAAGGTGCCCACTGAAGCACACAGAGGAAAGAACTGCCTCTCGGTGTGTAGGAAAGAGGGCCCCCCACGGGCCGAGAGGGTCCTTGGGAAGAGCCGGCTGCTGGTCCTCCATCTTGCTCCATCCACCGAAGAGACAAAGCAGAAGCGGGCAGTGACGTACCTGCCTTTGGAGTCTGAGTTAAAAAGAAAATGTAAAAATAGCTGCCCTTTTGAAAGTATCAAAGTCACAATGAGTCATTTGTTTGCTTCTTACAAATTCCCAAGTTTTCTTTTTTCCCCAAAGGTGGGCACTGTTCATCCCTGCAGTGCCTGGTGTCTGACGCCAAGTGAGTGGGGCTTCTCCACGCCAGTTCTCCAGGCCTCGCTCACCAACCATGTGCCCATCCCTTGGATTCAGCTCTTACCCTCTCTGGAGTGGGTGTGAGATTCATAGGTGAAGGGCTCATTCCCACGAGCCTACGCCTACTTCAGACGCCAGCCACAAATGGGGTGCCCAGGCCACCATCTGTTCTGCCCAGCAGACTACGACTTTGGCGGTTCCTGCACCCCCTCCCTTGAGCTCAGTGATTGACTAAGACAGTTCCCAGAACTCAGGAGAGGACTGTACTCCCTGGAGCCGGTGTGAACATGAAGGCAGAGCCCGGAACCCCCCGAAGGAATCACTGCACACGTGAGGGGACTGAGCAGAGCCCCTGAGCCGCCCGCTCTGGCACGCCACCCTCCCAGCCCCTCAGCACCGGGGGACTCACCCTCACACACCCAGAGGGCCTCTGGACCAGGCGCTAGGGTCCTCATGGGGGTCCCAGGACATGGGCGTGACTCAGGCACTGACCCACTGGGACGGAAGGCAGGCCGTTAGGCCTTCCTGAGTCTAGAGAATGGACCGAGGGCACAGGTGGCGGTGGGGACGCCCACCGTGGGCAACTGTGGGCGCCTAGCCAGAGACGTGGTTTGGACCAGGAGGGTGCTGGTGAAGGGAAGCCACACGCAGAACAGGAAATGCCATCAGAGAGGCGAGAGGAGGGGCAGAGGATGGACACAGGGGTTTCTGCTGCAGAAGGCATGGTGGCGGCCGCATCCCCACCCCGGCCTGCAAGGGCCTGGAGGACGGGAACAGAGCCCCGTCTGGCAGATGCTCCCTAGGCCGCTGGGGCAGCAGCTGAATATTGCAACCATCTGAGCTGAAGACTGAAGTTGAGTGGCGTGTTACCGAAGGGAACCCGGGCCCAGTGGTGCCCGAATGACCAGGAGCTGGGGGAGAAGCGGCGGCAGAAAGGGTAGTGGGGAGCGGGGTTGCACAAGCGGGGGAGGAGGGCGTCGGGGGAGCAGGACTGGGTGGAGGGGTGCGCCTGAGAACCGGCCCGGGTGCGCACACGTGAGGCTGCAGGCCAAGACGAGGGCTGTGGAGAGGGGCGCCCTGGTGGGGGACAGGTGGGGCTGGTGGAGACAGCTCGAGGGGTTCGGATGCGGAGGCGGGCACACAGTGGGATGGTGCATGGAAAGGATTGTGCGACATACCTTGTTCTGGTTTTTTAAGATGGAAGGAAGGTACCCAGAGCGAATTTTATTTTGCTAATGGGAAAACCTAACAGGGAGGGATTAAGAATTTGGGGGAGCAAGCGTATTACTGCTGAAAGCAAACAATCACTGAGAACAAGACTGGACAGAATGTTCTCAGGTTCGGGGGGAGAGGGGCCAGAGAGTGGCGAGTCCCGGGGCAGGCGGCTCTGGGTCTAGGCTGGGGAGGGGGCGCTCCCACCTGAGGTCCCCCTTTCCTGCCGAGAGGTAGGGCAGCTGTGCAGGGAGGTGGGGACAGCTGGGGTCCCCCGCAGGGCAGGGTGGGAATGCCCCATGCCCAGTGCCCACCCAGCTTGGCGGCCGCCTCGGCGCCCCCTCTCCCTTGTGTTCTCAGAGGCGTTGGAGTCTGCGGAGGAGCTTTGCCCCCCTGGAGGGAGCACCGTGCGTGTCCCAGCCTGGCGTCCCCGCCCCGTCACCGCTCTTACCAAGTGCAGACAGCTCCTCCTACACGCACTCGGGTGTCTTTGCGTCATTTGTCTTCAAAGCAGCGTTTGTCCCCACGTTGTGGTTTGCAGAGCAGAAATGGTGCTTTTGCTCGGGGAGAGGGTGCTCAGCAGGAGAGACCCCCCGACGGGCCGGGAGTAAAGGCGCTGTAACTCTTACAGGTCGGTGACGAGAAGCTACTACCGAGGCGCCGCGGGGGCTCTGCTGGTCTACGACATCACCAGGTAACGGGCTCCGCAGCGGCAGCCGGCGCACCTGCACGCGGGGTGCTGTGCGCGCCGGAGTGGTGGTGGCGGGGGGGCGCAGGGGTTTTGCAAACAGCCCCCACTTTACCATGTAAAGAAATATATTCATAAGGCTTTACAAAGATAAAGCTTCCCCAGTGTTCCGTTATCCTTCTTTGACCCTTCCTGAAGGTTCACAAAGTGAGACTTTACCTGTGTGGTAAATTATTAGAGTAATTGGCATTGACCACGTTCGAGGTCATCCTCTGGGGGCTTAGACCGCCCAGATTCAAGTCCCGGTCCTGGGTTCCTGGCCGCATGCGTCCTCAGCTAGGCCCTCTGGTTTCCCTGCCTGTCACATGCACCAGTGATGATGGTGTAATACTTGTAAAGTTACTGGGGGTTAAATTGGTTAATATAAAGTTCCTGGCACATCATGAGGATCTGAGTGCACTGCCCTGTGTGTAGCTATCACACACATGTCACAATTGAGTAAAAATTCTGTCCCTTGGTCTCACCCCATTTCAAATGGGGCTCCACGTTGCACGGTGGAGGCTGCAGAACATTTCTGCGCACAGGAATCCTATCAGATAGTGTTCTCTAGCCCCACCTTAGAAACATGTCATCTAAGCTGCATTGTCTGGGGGCCCTTTGTAGGTGGCGTTCGCCCCGTGAGGGGGGGGGCGGGGTTGTCACCCTGCGGCTGTGACAGACACCCGGCCCGTGGGTTTGGAAGGAAGGGCTCTGGCGGGGAGGTGGGCAGCTCCCGGCCCAGCCCTGCCACGCCTGCCCTGGGGCCGAAAGGCTCAGCTTGCCAGAGCGTGAAGTTGTCAGGCTATCAGAGTGTGCCAGCGAGGAAATGTGCCCTGGGTGAGTGAGGGCCGGAAACGGCAGGTCTGAGAGTCGGTCCAGGAGTCAGGCCTGGTCTGCCCCTGGCTGCTCCTGTCCCTTGGGGTGACTTGATCTCTCGGGGCCTCAGGTTCCTCATGGGAAAGAGGGGCAGTAAGAGTCTACATCACAGAGGCCTTGTAAAGAATCAGTATGATGAACTGCTCAAAATCAAAGTACCAGAATATCACACAAACGCATTAAACGGCAGCAGGTAGCTGTGAGGGTCTCTTGCCGGCGCCGCCCGTACTGAGAGCCCAGTAAGTCTTCGTAAAACGGAATGAAGGAGCTTCTGTCTTCTTTTGCACCCCGGTTGGGCCAACAGCGAACAGCAGCCTATCTGACTTGCTGTTCCATTTTCTTGGAAACAAGCAAACCCAGTCGGTGTGGCACATGCTGGGGCATTCGGGTATCCGAGTCAGCAGAAGGCTTGTTAGCGTTAAACCCCGACGTGTTTAAAAGCAGTGTGAGTAGTGTAAATGACTGGAAAGAGTTGCTAGTTTTGTAAAATACATGTATTATTTTCACAATCTTGTGTTACGCAGCCGAGAAACCTACAATGCGCTTACTAATTGGTTAACAGATGCCAGAATGCTAGCAAGCCAGAACATCGTCATTATACTCTGCGGGAATAAGAAGGACCTGGATGTGGACCGCGAAGTCACTTTCCTAGAAGCTTCCAGATTTGCTCAAGAAAATGGCAAGTGGCCTTGTACCTATTGCTGCTTTCCAGTGGCAGATTTGTGGGTAATATTATTGCTTTGAGTTTAAGACATTTACTGGAGTATTCAGGAAATGGGAACTTCCTATTGTTTTTACTATAAATCTAGACTTAGCAATATTTTTGCCATGTTGCAGTCTGCCTGCAAAAGGTCCTATAATGATAAAAGCAAATGTATTTGATATACTGTAATGACCTTTCAGTCTAGACTCTGAATATTACAGGTCTTGGTTTAAAGTAAAAATCACAATAACAATTTCTAAAGGTCTTTTTTTAAAAATGTAATTTGAAGCTAAGTTGGTGAAATATTAGATCTAAGTGATCTAATATTTCCATTCATCTAAGTGAATGGAAAAAAAGATTAAGAAATGCTGGGCTTATTGGCTTTGTTTTACTTACATTAAATTTAAGTCATGTGGTTGTAGATGCCTTTGAAACTTCTCTGAACTGCCGAACAGTATACCTGAGAGTGAGAGTGGTGCGTAAAATTAATGGCTGCTTAGATAACAGAATGGTCAGAATTCAGATGTTTTAATTAACTTTCGTTTTCAGAATTAATCAAGAACTTAAAATATCCTGACACCAATTTCAACAGGACTCTAGGACTACCAAATCATATTTTTACAAGTTGACTGGTTTTCTGGTAATAAACGTGTGAGGAAAACATAAGGTATCATGAGCTTGTAAAGAAACTATTCAGAAATACAGAAGCTTAGAAGGAACCTCATTTTTACAAGTAAAGAAGTGAGAGATGGAGAGGTTGTGGCTTACTCACCAGAGCCAGCAAGGGTCAGTAAGCGTGGATAAGGCGTTAAAGCATATAAGACCTGTCGGCAGAGACAGGAAGATTATTTGGAAGAGGAAATTGCCGCTTGGTGCTTCCTCGGTCTCTTCGACAGGCTTGAGTGCCAGCACGAGATATGAGTCACTTTTCAGAAAAGGTTAGAATTCTTCTAACAGTCACAAAAAAATTGACGTTCATTGATTTTTATGTTTTTCAGGTATACGTGATCTTAAACGATAAATTACATTCCGCCTGCTATTCTAAGAAAATGCTAAGTAGGCTGTTAGGAATTGGATAATTATGGTCGTCTTCTAAACATTTGTTTGATGTCAATTTCAGAGCTGATGTTTTTGGAAACAAGCGCACTAACAGGGGAGAATGTGGAAGAGGCCTTTGTGCAATGCGCAAGAAAAATACTTAACAAAATCGAATCAGGTAAAAGGCTTTCCCTCAATGAACGTTTCTTGAGCACATTTTTCCCTCTCTATTTCAGGAGTATCACTTTTTAATATTTCCAGGAGTCGTTTGATCAAAGAGTATTCGATTCTCTCCACCCCCGCTAACCCCAAACTGCCACGTATGGATGTTAAGGTTTGTCCAGCCGGCTAGGGTGGCAGCCCGCTCCTCTTTGGTGGTGGATTCTGTGGCCCCGTCAGTGGGAGCGGAGGGGCCGTCAGTTTCAGGTGGTGTTTGCTCTTAGAACCCCAGCCTTTTATTGGCTCCATCTCTTAAAGGAGGAAGCCAGTGGCCGTGTGCCATGGCAGGGGCCACGTGTGTGACGCTGAGGGGGTTAGGGGACGTTGCGTGGCATTGGCGTCTGCAGGCCGGGCATTGCAGAGAACATATTCCTGAAGCTGCCTGAACATATTCCCCAGCAGTGATCTGCTTTGTTATTGTATTTGTTCTTCAGTAAAAATGGATCTAAAATGACCCTAATTTAGGCAGTTGACAATGTTCTCTAGAGTTGTCATTTTTAAAAACCAATTTTATACATGAACATTCCCCTCTTAACTGATTCATTCAAACATCTGAATGCCTATTCTATGTCAGTGGCTGCAATACAGAAATGAATTAATCACAGCCCTTGCCCTCAAGAATCTGTCTTCCATGGAGATCTCAAAAGATAAGATTCTAATATGGGTGGTTGAGATGCACAGGAACCTGGGGTCGGTCACACAGAGAAGGAGACCCTCTCCAGCCAGGGCACTGAGGGGGTGTCAGAGAGGGCTTCCAAGGACCAGGTGATGACTGAGCTCAGTTTGTCACGATGTGAGAAAGAGGGAGCTGACCAAGGGGTTGGGGACAAGGGGAGTCCAGGAGAGGGTGACCCGGGGAAGTGGGGGTCTCATGAGCCGAGACTGAGGGTCAAAGAATTGTTCATTATCACGTGCTGCAAAGAGTCTCAAGAGCTAAGAACTGAGCTGAAAAATATCCAGGGGGGTGGGCAGGAGGAAGGCACAGGTCTGTGTCCACATCAAGACCAGTTGCAGTAGAGGCAGAGAGCAAGTGGGGGACAGCAGAGAGAAGGATGCAGGGTGAGTGTGGGCCCATCCCTGAGGAAGAGCCAACAGGCAGAGGAGGGGGTGCGCGGCTCCCATGGAAGGAAGAGGCCTGCGTGGATTCTGACCGAGAAGGAGTGGGGAGGCGGAGGGAAGACGGGCGCAGAGGAGAGGACAGAGAACGCAGGCGGTGGGTGCGGTGGGACGAAGGGGTCCAGGAGCCCAGGGGAGAGCTGGGCCTGAACAGGAGGAGGGGCACTTCATCCTTCCATGTTTTTTTATCTGAAAACGAAACATAATAATTTTTACTGAACTCGGCACAGAAACTGTTCTTTTTAAGCACTACATGTGACATGGTTACCCAAGTAAATATTGGCTTGGTATTGAGTATTATTAAGCTCAAACGTGAGGTTTTCTTTAAATTATCTTGTTACTTTAATATTACATCCGTGGATACAGTATGTGTAAGTTGACTCATGTAAGACTTCCAGGATATATTTCTTCTGAGATCATCAAAATCATAATTCCCTCTAGGTGAAAAGCTTCAAAGAATTCATTAGAATTCTTCAGCAGTACTTTCTACATTTTCTAAATGGGAGGTACATTCATAGGGCTCAGAAGCCATTATTTCCTCCTCCTTTTTTATGCAACAATTAGCACACTGTAAACTCTGCTCCATACTTTTTGTACTTACTACCTATGGATCATTGCAAATCCGTTAAGAGACTTCTGGATATATGTGCTGATGTGCATATATATATACATAGTGTGTATGTGTAAGTCATATTTAGTTGGGTGTATTATCATAATTTAACCAGTTTACTTTGGACATTTGGGTTATTGCCAATATTTTGATACAATGCTTTAGTAGACCTTTTATATATCATTTCACATGTGTGTGAGTCTATGTGTAAGACAAATTCCCGAAGTGGAATTGTTAGGTCAAAGAACATAAGCATTTAGAATGTAGGTAGAGGCTGCCGGATTCTTCCTATCAGGGTTGTAGCAATTTATAATCCCACAAGTAATGAATAAAAGTGCTTATTTCACTAACGCCATGCCCACAGGCATATTATCATACTTGGGTTCTTAGCAGTCTGATAAGTGAGATATGGTATCTTTATATTTTAATTTGGATTAATTTATCTTAATATACATAAAATCTTCACATAATTCCAAACTCAAAAAGTACAAAAGAAGATAAAATGGAAGTCACCCTCTACTGCCACCCTCTGCTATCCCCTAAGCCATCTAGAACTTCTTGAAGTCAGCCATTATTACACTTCTTTATGTATTCTTCCAGAGATACTTTTATGCCCCTGCAAACATACATATATATTTTTTTCCTCATTATTCAAAATAATAACATATATACACAGTGTCCTACACTTTGCTTTTTGCATTTAATATATTCTGGAGATCACAGAAGCATTAAAAACTTTTTTAAAGAGACTTGTTTGATCCTCAGGTGAGCTGGACCCAGAAAGAATGGGCTCAGGTATTCAGTACGGAGATGCTGCCTTGAGACAGCTGCGGTCCCCGCGTCGTGCACAGGCCCCAAGCGCGCAGGAGTGTGGCTGCTAGAAGCTTTTTTTTATCTGAAAACGAAACATAATAATTTTTACTGAACTCGGCACAGAAACTGTTCTTTTTAAGCACTACATGTGACATGGTTACCCAAGTAAATATTGGCTTGGTATTGAGTATTATTAAGCTCAAACGTGAGGTTTTCTTTAAATTATCTTGTTACTTTAATATTACATCCGTGGATACAGTATGTGTAAGTTGACTCATGTAAGACTTCCAGGATATATTTCTTCTGAGATCATCAAAATCATAATTCCCTCTAGGTGAAAAGCTTCAAAGAATTCATTAGAATTCTTCAGCAGTACTTTCTACATTTTCTAAATGGGAGGTACATTCATAGGGCTCAGAAGCCATTATTTCCTCCTCCTTTTTTATGCAACAATTAGCACACTGTAAACTCTGCTCCATACTTTTTGTACTTACTACCTATGGATCATTGCAAATCCGTTAAGAGACTTCTGGATATATGTGCTGATGTGCATATATATATACATAGTGTGTATGTGTAAGTCATATTTAGTTGGGTGTATTATCATAATTTAACCAGTTTACTTTGGACATTTGGGTTATTGCCAATATTTTGATACAATGCTTTAGTAGACCTTTTATATATCATTTCACATGTGTGTGAGTCTATGTGTAAGACAAATTCCCGAAGTGGAATTGTTAGGTCAAAGAACATAAGCATTTAGAATGTAGGTAGAGGCTGCCGGATTCTTCCTATCAGGGTTGTAGCAATTTATAATCCCACAAGTAATGAATAAAAGTGCTTATTTCACTAACGCCATGCCCACAGGCATATTATCATACTTGGGTTCTTAGCAGTCTGATAAGTGAGATATGGTATCTTTATATTTTAATTTGGATTAATTTATCTTAATATACATAAAATCTTCACATAATTCCAAACTCAAAAAGTACAAAAGAAGATAAAATGGAAGTCACCCTCTACTGCCACCCTCTGCTATCCCCTAAGCCATCTAGAACTTCTTGAAGTCAGCCATTATTACACTTCTTTATGTATTCTTCCAGAGATACTTTTATGCCCCTGCAAACATACATATATATTTTTTTCCTCATTATTCAAAATAATAACATATATACACAGTGTCCTACACTTTGCTTTTTGCATTTAATATATTCTGGAGATCACAGAAGCATTAAAAACTTTTTTAAAGAGACTTATTTGATCCTCAGGTGAGCTGGACCCAGAAAGAATGGGCTCAGGTATTCAGTACGGAGATGCTGCCTTGAGACAGCTGCGGTCCCCGCGTCGTGCACAGGCCCCAAGCGCGCAGGAGTGTGGCTGCTAGAAGCAGCACGGGAGAACGCAGGTAGGTGTGCACATCACAGCATCTCTGCTGGCAGCCCTCTGGCCTTGTAATCTGGTCACTACTCAGAGTCAGCACTTAACTGTAGAGATTGTTACTGCTTCTTGCAGCTACATTATTGAAAGGAGAGGTGATTTGATTGCATAATTGCAAGTTAGATATTCTCAGCAACAGCAGAATATACATTCTTCTCAAGCTTACTTGAAACATTCACCCAAATAGACCACATTCTGGACTATAACACACCTTAACACATTTAAAAGAATAGAAATCATACCATCTCTGCTGTCAGACCACAGTGGAATTAAACTAGAAATCAATAACAGAAAAATAACTGGGAAATCCAAAATATGTGGAGATTAAATGTCTAAATAACACATGGGCAAAGAAGAAATCTCAAGAGAAATTTAAAAATATTCTAAACTAACTGGACATCAAAACATAATTCATCAAAATCTGGGGTAATGCAGTGAAAGCAGTTATTGATTAGAGGGAAATTTGTATCACTGAATGTATATATTAGAAAAGAAGAAAGATCTAAAATCAGGCATCTAAGTATCCACCATAGGAAACCAGAAAAAGAAAAGCAAATGAAATCCAAAGTGGCAGAAGAGAAGAAATAATAAGAATTAGAGCAGAAATCGATGAAACTAAAACCAGGAAGTCAATAGAGAAAAATTGACAAACTCAAAGCTGGTTCTTTGAAAAGATCAAAATAATCAATACAATTAATAAGCTTCTAGCCAAGTTAACAAAAAGAGGGAACACAAATTATTAATATCAGAAATGAAAGACGGGGTTACTATAGATCCCACGGACATTAAAAGGATAATAAAGGAACACTGAACAACTTTATACCCACAAGTTTGATAACCTAGGTGAAATATATCAATTCTTTGAAAGACACAATTTGCCAAAACTTACACAAGAAGAAATAGACCGTTTGAATAGGCCCATATCTATTAAAGAAATTGAACCCATCATTTATAAGCTCCCCAAAACAGAAAGCACCAGACCCAGATGGGTTCACTGGTGAATTCTACCAAACATTTAAGGAAGAAATTATACCATTTCTCTACAATCTTTTCACAGGACAGAAGCAGATGGAATACTTCCTAACTCTCATTATGAGTCCAGCATTACCCTAATTCCAAAACCAGACAAAGACATCACAAGAAAACAAAACTACAGACTGAAACATGGCTGCAGAAATCCTCAATGAAATATTAACAAATCAAACTCAAAACATATATGAATTACATACCACTTCCAAGTGGGATTTATCCCAAGTATGGAAACCTGGTTCAGCATTCCAAAGTCAATTAATGTCATCCATCCCATCAGCACGCTAAAGAAGAAAAATCTTATGATCCTATCAAGAGACGAGAAAAGCCATTTGACAAATTCTAACACCTATGATAATGAAAAGTCTTAGTAAACTAGGCATTGAGCAGAATTTCCTCAATTTGATAAAGAATATGTACAGAAAAAAACCCTACAGCTAATATCATACTTACTGTGGGAAACTTGAAGCTTTGCCACTAATATCAGGTACAAGGTAAGGATGTCGCTCTCCACCACCCCTTTTCAGAATCATGCTGAACATTCTAGCTAATGCAGTAAGAAAAAAAAGGGAAAGAGAAGATACGCAGATTGGGAAGGAAGAAATGAACTGTCTTTGTACATGTTTATGTTGAAAATCCAAAAGAATCCACAAACTCCTATATAAGCAATTATATAACAAGGTTGAAAGATCCAGAGTTAATGCACAGAAGTCCATCACTCTTCTATATATTAGCAATGAACAAGTGGAATTTAAAATTAAAAACACAGTACCATGTTAGCACCCAAAAAAGGAAATACTTAGGTATAACTCCAACAAAATGTGTACAAGATCTATATGAGGAAAGGCAGACTGGTTCTAAAGTTTACATGAGGAGGCAAAAGACCCAGCATAGCCCACACAGTATTAAAGGAGAAGAACAAAGTTGTAGGATTGTCACGACCCAACTTCAAGGCACTATTAAGCTGCAGTAGTCAAGATGGGTGGTGCTGGTGAAAGAAAAAGTCAATCACTGGAACAGAATAGCAAGCCCAGAAATACACCCACATAAATACAATCAACTGACCTTTGGCAGAGCAGCAAAGATACAGAAGCACAATGGAGCAAAGATAGTTTTTTCGACAAATGGTGCTGGAACCTACTGTCCATCCACATGCAAAAAAAACAAAAAAAACAGCGAATCTAGACACAGAATTTACACTCTTCATAGAAACTAACTCAAAATGAATGATAGACCTAAACATAAAACTGTAAAAATCCTAAAAATAACATAGGAGGAAACTTAGATGCACTTGACTGTGATGATTTTTTAGATACAACACCAAAGGCACAATCTATGGAAGACATAATTGATAGACTGGACTCCGTTGCAAGTAAAAACTGCTCTGTAAATGGCAATGTCAGGAGAATGAGTAGACAAGCTACCGACTAAGAAAAGTATTTCCAAAAGGCATACCTAATAAAGGATCATTACCCAAATATACAAGAAGTCTTAAAATTTAACAGTACAAAACCAACCAACCTGACTAAAAAATGGGCCAAAGATCTTAACAAATACCTCACCAAAGAAGATAGAGACATGGCAATAAGTATATGAAAAGAAGCTGCACATCACTGTCATGAGAGAAATGCAAATTAAAACAGCAACTTATGACACACCTGGTAAAATGGCCAAAATTCAAGGCACTGACATCATCAAATGCTGCCGAGGATGTGGAGCCCTGGGAATTCTCTCTCCGTGCTGGTGGGAATGCGGAATGGCACAGCCACTTTGGAGTACAGGTCGGCAGCTTCTTACAAAACTATACCTACTCTTACCTTATGGCTCAGTAGTCTCACTCCTTGGTATTTACCCAACGGAGTTGAAAACTCACATCTGTACAGAAACCTGCCACATGGATGTTTGTAACAACCTTATTCATAATTGCCAAAACTTGGAAGCAACCAGCAAATGGATAAACCCTGACACACCCAGACAATGGAATGTACTCAGGACTAAAAAGAAACAAGCTTTCAAGCCATGAAAAAACATGGAGGAATCCTGAGTGCATATCACTCAGTGAAAGAAGCCAATCTGAAATGGCTGTATACTGTATGATTCCCACTATATAATATTCTGGAAAAGGCAAAACTGTGAACACAGTAGAAAGCTCAGTGGTTTCCAGGGGTTTGGGGAGGAGGGATGAACCAGCAAAGTGCACTGGGTTTTTAGGGAAGTGAAAATGCCTGTGTAATACCATGAGGATAGACACATGTCATTATATATTTGTCCAAACCCACATAACGTATGTACACCACCACAGATGAACTGTAACATAAACAGTGGACTTTGGATGACGACTACGGTGTTATTACAGGTTCATCAGTTGTAGCCAATGCCCCACAGAGGTGGGGGATATTGGTAGTGGGGAGGCTGTGCCTGGGTGGGATAGGGGTAAATGGGAAGTCTATGTTCTTTTCCTCAGTTTTGTTGTGACCCTAAAACTTCGCAAAAAATAAAGGCTTAAAAAAATCCTAATGCAGCCACTAAAATAACATGACAAAGAGTTTTGCCTAAAAAAGCAATATGGGAATTAAAGTGGAATAAACAAGTAATTAATCTAAATAATCCAAAGGAAGGCAGAAAAAGAAGAAGAGGGGGAGAACAAATAGCAAAATGGTACATTAAACCCAACCTTATGAATTAAACAAACGTTAGACGGAATTTAAACTGCAGGAAATCCTCATGCTTTTGCTTAGAAAGAAGGGTGGTAGTTGATGGGAGTGACTGAGAGATTCTTCTCCATCTTAGAAAGAGGAGACTTTCTTGGGTTAATGAAGTCTGAATATGCCTGTTCCTAAAATAGAAGACTTATTTATAAAGTTTGCAAATGGAGATTTTAAACTTTAAAGATTCCTTTTTCCCATTTGCCACAGTGGGCTTTTTGTATATGGCCAACATTATCTAACAGGTATAGGTAATTTTAAATAAAAGTTGGAAGGATTCGTTAATGCCCTTTGGGACTGTAAGGTACATCTGTACATTTATAGTTAACGCCTATTTCTAAATTGTTCTTAACATTTTTTTAGGTGTCCATACAGTGGTATTTGGGACACAGTTGTCGGAGCTTGAAGAAGTTTTTTACTACCATCTTTTTCTACTTTATACAGAAGTAGATCTTTGTGCAAAAAAATAATAATTTGAGGTGTCATGCAAACAAAAAAAGTAGATGTGGCTCAGCAAACCATATAAGAAATTTAATTCAAGGGACATACCACTAGATGTATACATGTATGTAAAAATTTTCAGCTCCGTATTTTCCCCTTCGCTTTGGTTCACATCCTGGCTGCGTACGGCATATACTCGAGCCCAGCACGTCTCCACAGCATGGTGTCTGACGTATGATATGAAGGAATGGTGCGCCTAAATGCAGTCTATTATTTTACTTTTTTTAATCATGAACTAAAATAAGTTAACGGTGAGGTGTACTTCGGGCACCCTGTCGGTTATCTTGCACAGTTGGCGACATCCACGACCCTGGCCATCGAAGGCCACTGCAGCACTTATTTAATTTCCTTTTCCACAGTCCACAAAGCGTTTACGTGATCCACACTTGAAATAACTAGATCAGTAGTTTCTCATGTAACGAAATAAAATGGAAAATGGAGTTTTCCCATGGACTTTACACTGCCCAGCACTTTTGATTTCAAAGCATCTTCATCTAGACCTGGTCAGGAAGGCTGTCCCAAGGACCTGCTCTGTGTCGGCACCACAATAGCTCTAAGGATTCCGGTACCTTTGACCAAACTTACGAGGTGACCGATTGTCTCTCAGCTGTCGGGAAATACAGCAGCCGAGGACCTGGGGGACTGCACCCCACTCCCTGGGTGCTGCACCTCTTGTCTTCCTGCTGGAAGGTGCCTTGTGTATGTGTGTGTTTTCCGTGGGGCCCAGTGTCACCGCCTCATACCTCTTCCGTGAGTCTCCTCTTGTTCTGTGTTCCTTCTAAGGAAACCCACTGCACCCAGTTACAGTTAAAGGGACACCACTCGTTAAGAAATTTCCATACAGCTTTTGCTGAATACTTACATGCCTTACTACAGCTATCAAGTCAACATGTTTTTCATTTACAGGAGGTGTATTGAGCTATTGAAGTATACTATACACTGTACTACAAAGATTTGTTCTAATATTTTAAAATGTCGATGCAAAATATATATAATAGAACTTTTCTTTAAAGTTGAAATATGTTATTATGAAGGCCAAGAAGATTAGAAAGCATTCTTCACCTTATATGAGGATGGACTGGTAATTTCACCCCCTTTAGTTAGAAGCTGCCTTCTATTTTTGTTGCTATTTTATTTAATCCACAGTGTACAGCTGCACTATAAACCCTGGGAAGTGACTGGGATAAAAATACCATATATATATATACCTATTTTAGATATTTTAATTTTGTTTTTTCCATGCCTTGAATATTTGATTTTGAAAAGTCAGAATATGAAGCAAATTCTCAGACTGAACTACTTCCTGGACCTCCCTGGAAGAATGTTTCATTCAGTGTCTCATTTATGATAGTTTTTGAACAGCTTTTTGCATGGGATAGGAGCATGCCATTCTACCACATCAGTTTATTCAAAAGCAGGAGTTTTTGGAATAAGAGAAATGTTGTGTGTTGGCTACAAATGAGCCTATAATGAAACCACAGGTACTGCATAAAATTCCACATCCTTTGACCAATAAAAGTTCCCAGAAAGAACGAAACCACAGAGGTTCTTAAAGAGGCCTTAAGGGAAAATGAGGAGGCGATGGTTTGGGACTAGTCAGTGCAGTGTTTTCAATGATTCTCCAGACACAGACACCAGCTGGGTGTCCCACAATTCCATTCTGTCACTGTCTACCTGCAGAAAGCATTACATCCCACAAGGTAAAGGCTTAGTCTGCTCCCGACACACCCCCTACACACACACACACACATACACACACACACACTCTTCAGAGACCAGTCGCAAATCCGGGTTGTCACCTGTGCTTCTGATCAACCAGCTATAAACCTGCGGCCCCCAAGACCCCATCCTTGGGTTTTATTCATTTGCTATGACATCCCAGAACTAAGAAGAATTTACTTACTAGAATCCTGGTTTTTTATAAAAGGATATTAGAGGATAAAGATGAACAGGTAGATGAGAAGATGCACAGGGCCAGGTCTGGAAGGGTCTGAGCAGCCCAGGAGCTTTGGTCCCCATGGAATTTGGGGTGAAGCCCCCTCGCACATGGGTATGTTCTTGTTCCCCAATCCAGAGAGGCTCATGAAATCTGCTGTTGAAGATTTTGATGGAGCTCGATCCCCAGCTCTCCAAATCCCACCCTTTCTCCAGCTCAGTGGTGGGGCTGAAGCTCCCACCTCCTACTCCCTTGGCTTTTCTGGTGAGCCATCCATCCTGAGGAGATTGGGGCGCCACCGTGTCACCTTATTAACACAAACTCCTGCATGCTGAAAAGGAGCACTTTATGAATAACAAAATACACTCCTATCACTCAGAAAACGCCGTGGATTTTAGGGGCTGTGAGCCAGGAACCAGGGACAAAGACCAAGTATATCTCCCACTATACCACAGTCAGTCTAGGAACAAACATTATGTATACATTTCCCACAACTTATTAGACTTTTAGGATGTTCTTAACCTACATTTCTAGAAAAGTACTTTTTCAGGCTTTCTAGAAAAAGATTTTAAACTCCATTTAAACTTGAGATTATGCTTCTGCAGTCCAGCATTTCCGTGAAACTGAGAGCATCACGATTTGGAAATCTGTAATGGTTTTACTGAAAACATACTCCTTGTGACTGACATAAGAGCTTTTGAAATCTTTAAGAACCTGGTTCCTAACAGATCAATATTATTCAGTGAAGAATCTGATGCTAAAATTAGACACACCATTTGCAATTCATGCTGCAATACAGTAGATGGCTGTTCATTTTCTATCAGATTTGCCCCGTTTTTGTGTTTTTTTTTTTTAAGGGGAGAATTAGGCTTTGAAACACCTGTGGATTTCTATTTGTTTGTGACCATTGTCCAGTGAGTCTCTCTACAAGTCAATCTTCCTGTTCACGTACATACACCCTGGGTTTCTTACTGCTTGGTCATGTCCCAGTTGTATTAACTAATTTAAGGGGTTGTTGTTAGATTCTTAGATTTATCTGGGGACACAGCTGCAGGGAGTCAAGTGGCTAAGTTGCCCACTATCACCCTCTAAGGTTAGAAAATACTGNATAAAGTTTGCAAATGGAGATTTTAAACTTTAAAGATTCCTTTTTCCCATTTGCCACAGTGGGCTTTTCGTATATGGCCAACATTATCTAACAGGTATAGGTAATTTTAAATAAAAGTTGGAAGGATTCGTTAATGCCCTTTGGGACTGTAAGGTACATCTGTACATTTATAGTTAACGCCTATTTCTAAATTGTTCTTAATATTTTTTTAGGTGTTCATACAGTGGTATTTGGGACACAGTTGTCGGAGCTTGAAGAAGTTTTTTACTACCATCTTTTTCTACTTTATACAGAAGTAGATCTTTCTGCAAAAAAATAATAATTTGAGGTGTCATGCAAACTAGTAGATGTGGCTCAGCAAACCATATAAGAAATTTAATTCAAGGGACAATACCACTAGATGTATACATGTATGTAAAAATTTTCAGCTCCATATTTTCCCCTTCGCTTTGGTTCACGTCCTGGCTGTGTACAGCATATACTCGAGCCCAGCACACCTCCACAGCATGGTGTCTGACGTATGATATGAAGGAATGGTGCGCCTAAATGCAGTCTATTATTTTACTTTTTTAATCATGAACTAAAATCAGTTAACAGTGAGGTGTACTTCGGGCACCCTGTCGGTTATCTTGCACAGTTGGCGACATCCACTACCCTGGCCATCAAAGGTCACTGCAGCACTTATTTAATTTCCTTTTCCACAGTCCACAAAGCATTTACGTGATCCACACTTGAAATACCTAGATCAGTAGTTTCTCATGTAACGAAATAAAATGGAAAATGGAGTTTTCCCATGGACTTTACACTGCCCAGCACTTTTGATTTCAAAGCATCTTCATCTAGACCTGGTCAGGAAGGCTGTCCCAAGGACCTGCTCTGTGTCGGCACCACAATAGCTCTAAGGATTCCGGTACCTTTGACCAAACTTACGAGGTGACCGATTGTCTCTCAGCTGTCGGGAAATACAGCAGCCGAGGACCTGGGGGACTGCGCCCCACTCCCTGGGTGCTGCACCTCTTGTCTTCCTGCTGGAAGGTGCCTTGTGTATGTGTGTGCTTTCCGTGGGGCCCAGTGTCACCAC